GAAGATTGGGCTGCAGTGAACGTCTAAGAAGCTATCAAGAATTTAGCGAGTTTTAGTATAGATGTAAAGGCGGAAGAACTTTGCAAATTGCCTTTATGAAGCGAGCTGGAGGTGATGCTCGGGAAATCTTCTCATAACAAGTAACAATCTAACATATAAGCTTAGAAAGACAGGACCTCACAAAGTATATTGTTTATTAACAGCCTTTTTTTTATTAACAGCATTTTAACAGGGAATGATCTCATTACCTTGGGTTTTTAGCTTAGTGTGGGTTATCTTTTCTTTCTCCCTAAGTGTAGTCCCCCCATCCCTATTTTTTCTTGGTAGTTTATGTAGTACTATAAAAAAAATAAAAAATCCCCTCTGGGGGCTTAAAAAAAATCTAATTCTCAACATGGCCCCACCTGTGGATACTTAAATCAAGAGATGGGAGCCACAAACGGATCTTTCTACAAACATGAGAAAAGCCCCAGGTTTGCAGAAAAATCTGATTTAAAAAATGGAGGGTTAAAATAACAGAAGCAGTGCTGGTAGCTTTAAGAAATGAATGTCCTCAGTGGCCATTAGGCAACCACTGTAGTACTGCCAGCCTTGCTTTCTGTCAGTAAAAAGCAGGGGGAGGGGGCAAGGCCCTTTCCAGAACTATTTTGGTGTTTGAGGGAGGACTCGACTGGTCCAGGCTTAGCAGCAATTATTGTACAACTCACAGCCATCTGAACTGCATGAGTTACCCAAGTCCACCTGCTTACTACTGTTCAATAAGAGCCACCCCACAAAAGCAGTCTGGTGCCACAGAGTTTCTACCTAGGATGTGGGAGACCCAGGCTCAAATCCCCATTTGGCTATGGAAGGTCACTGGATGACCTTGGGCCAGTTACACATTCTCAGCCTAACAGAGATGCTATGAGGATAAAATGGAGGATAGGGGAATGCTGTAAGCGGCTTTGGGTCCCCATTGTGCTTTAGGTCATCTTGCATGGTGCAGGGGATTGAACTGAATAGTATTTAGCCCCCTTCCAACTTTTCAATTCTATGAAGAAAATGGAAGAACCAGGGACAGCCAGATGTTGCCTCATGTTGCGGTGACAAGAGGGGGACAGTTGGGGAGCGAGAAGCTCCTGCTCCTCCCTAGCCACCCTCTGAAGCAGCAGCAAAAAGAGATTAGGGTCACCTGCCCAGCCATCCCCTTCTCCAATGTTCCGGCCACCCAAGCTGTGGCAGCAGAAGCAGCAGCCTTGGCAACGGGTCATCAGCAGAGGGGAAAAGTTGGGGAGAGCGTGGCAGTGGCTCCTGGTCCTTCTCACCCACTCCTCCAAGGCAGCAGTGGAGGTAGGTGGGTCACCAGAGGGTTTGGGATGTTGGGGAGGGTTGACAGCAGAAGCTCCTAGTTCTTCTCCCCCAACCACCCACAGTGTTGTTTCTCTGGCAGTTGTTGAGGTGGGGGGAATCTGGCTGCTCGGCTGTTACCCTCTCTGCGGTTTGGCTGCCCCAGCCACATGTCCCCCATTGCTGCTCTACTTTCCCACCCAGCCATTTGACTCAAGTTGTGGCAGTGGCAGGGGGAATGATGGGTGGTGCAGCCAGGCTTCCCAAGGACTTACCGCGATTTGGCGGGGGACATAGACGTCTTCGCAGGATCATTCCTGCGGGGACAACAGACGCGGCACACCATGCCGTCGCCAGGAAGTGACGCCGGGTGACGCTCTGGCAATGGGGCTGGAAACTCGATGGTACTTCCTTGGAAGGTCAGCCCTATTGCCAGAGTGTCACCCAGCGTCACTTCCTGGCGACGGCATGGTGCGTTACAGGGAGGAATGGTCCGGCCGGGGAGCATGTTTTCCCCACTGGATTGCAGTAAGTACTTGGGAACCCTAGGTGCAGCTGAGGCTCCCACTCCTCCTCACTCACCTCCAAGGCATTCGTGGAGGGTCCTCCGTTAGGAGAAAAATATCTCTTCTCAACATGCCCCTGATCTATGGGTTTAAGGATTGGCAGATGGGGCCATGTTGTCTGTTACATATATTGATGTTCTTTTAAGAATGCTCCATAGTATGTGGTTTGCAACACGTATTATTTCCACCAATATTTAAAGGCTCATGTATATCTGTGCATACCTGCATTGGGATAGCAAATGACGTAGGCAGTTGTGCATTTCCCAATAGCTTCAATGAAAGGCCTCATCTCCACTGCCCCCAAAGCACAATTTAATCCAATGCTAGAAAGACAAGAAAACATCATCCTTGCTGCAATTACAACAGATGCCAAAAAAAGAACTTACTGAACAATACACATGTTGTTGCACCTGCAATGAGGAACTGGTAATCTGGGTGGCGGGGGCGGGGTGCTTTACAGATACCAGTTGCAAAGAATAGGTGGCAAGGGTTTACAAGTTCGCCAGAGGGTTTTTTGCGGAGGTGGGGGGAATGGTTTAAGTGAGAAGTCACATGTGCAGCTCCACCCACAGCCACCAGGGACCTGCTGTGGGTGCCATGACCTTCCAAGGAAGTACAACCATGATCCCCCACACCCCAGACCCCTTAGTTTAGGAGGCCAATCAATAAAATTGAAGAAAGGAGAACAATGTTGTAAGCTTTGTCTCCAATGGGAGAAAAGCAGGGTGTAAATAGTAACAAATCCCCAACTGCCCTCATTCCAATTCCCAACCTGGTAGCAGTGAACTCAAGTAACCACCATCCTTCCAGTGCAGCCCAGCAGGCTACCAGCTCCACTCACCTTTGGCAGCCAGCAGCAGCCAAGCAAGGTAAGCCCATCAAACCTCAACCAAGGCCTCTGGCAGTGAGAGTCAGAAAAGGAGGTCCAGTTTTGAGGCAAAAAGGATCCATTTGCAATATCCCTGCTCTTAAAATGGGCAGCGTAGCATACAGTATAACTGAGCTATTCATATGCCCGTGGCAAGGAACATCCAAAACATTCAAATAATAGGAGGTTAAATTGATGCTAGGTTGTAATGCCAAGGAAAGACACAAAGATTTTGGATAGAGAAAAGCTATGAAGAAATATGATTCTAAAAAGGGTTCATTGTTACCAATCCAATCTTCACATTGTTGCCCCTCTCCTGAATGCAGTACGTTTTAAGGCTTCGATATTCAAACCAATTGCCCTCCATGCACAGCCAGATGCGGCAAGCAGTCAGCTCCCATTTGTTTTGAACTGATAAGCTGTTTAGTCAATTTGCAAGAGATCCATTATGCATCAATCACCACACTAAATAAGTAAGGCTACTTGACATGTCAGGTTAACAAATTACACAGCACCTAAAAGTAATATATGGAGAACAAACATAAAATAACAGTCACCCAGAAGAAAAAACTACAAAAACAGAAGAATACTTCAGGGAACATAAGAACATAAGAGACGCCAATGTTGGATCAGGCCAAAGGCCCATCCAGTCCAACACTCTGTATCACACAGTGGCCAGAAATACCAGTGCCATCAGGAGGTCCACCAGTGGGGCCAGGACATTAGAAACCCTCCCACTGTTGACCCCCCCCCAAGCACCAAGAAGACAGAGCATCACTTGCCCCAGAGCCCCTAGCTATACCTTGTGGCTAATAGCCACTGATGGACCTCTGCTCCATATGCTTATCTAATTCCCTTTTGAAGCCATCCATGCTTGTAGCACCCACCACTTCCTGTGGCAGTGAATTCCAAGTGTTAATCACTCTTTGGGTGAAGAAGGACGTCCTATTTTGAAGCCGTCCATGCTTGTAGCCGCCACCACTTCCTGTGGCGCCACCACTTCCTGTGGCAGTGAATTCCATGTGTTAATCACTCTTTGGGTGAAGAAATACTTCTTTTTATCCGTTCTAACCCGACCGCTCAGCAATTTCATGGAGTGCCCACGAGTTCTTGTATTGTGAGAAAGGGAGAAAAGTACCTCTTTCTCTACCTGCTCTTTCCCATGCATAATCTTATAAACCTCAATCATGTCACCCCTCAGTTGTCATTTCTCCAAGCTAAAGAGCCCTAAGCAGTTTAACCTTTCCTCATAGGGAAAGTGTTCCAACCCTTTTATCATTCGAGTTGCCCTTTTCTGCACTTTTTCCAAAGCTATAATATCCTTTTTAAGGTGTGGTGACCAGAACTGCACACAGTATTCCAAATGAGGTTGCACCATTGATTTATATAGGGGCATTATGATATTGGCAGATCTGTTTTCAATACCCTTCCTAATAATCCCCAGCACAGCATTGGCCTTCTTTATTGCAGTCACACACTGTCTCGACATTTTCAGTGAGTTATCTACTACAACTGCAAGATATTCTAATCAAATCAAACCATGTTTTACCTGTTCTACAATAAAGGATGCTATGTTTGGAGTAAGAGATTGGGGTTTTTTTGTCATATCATTTAATTCTACACTGCACTGAAAGAGGTGAACATCATTTAGTATGATTCATTAAAACATTGTATAGCACTGGGAAAATTAAGAAAAACTGAGTACATCTACTGTGTGTCCACTCACGACACATCTGCACTGTGACCATAAATGGCAGATCAGAAGTTAAAGGATGAGCAAGAAAAGCCTTTTCCAGTCTGAAAAATAATTTATGGAAATCACAAACAACTCCCAAATTACTTATCAATATTTATTTCCCCCCTTTTAAAATACCGTTAAAGGAGAGAAGGTCTCGAGAGTTCTTCTGCTTAATACACCTAAGGCAAGCACTGAAATTATGCAATGGAATTATCTGCCTCACTGCTTATGAGGCAAACATTTTGCACATGGAAGAGCTTCTTGAACACTCTGTTACCAAGGTAAGAGTGTAAATATCAACACCAGACCTGCGAACACACGTCTGGCATCAAGCTGAAGTTCCCATGAGAGGTTCTCCTCAAATCTCAAAGGAATTTGAATACACAAAAGGAAGAATATGCAGCTAATCCCTGGCTTCTTCCTGCCAGGCAAACCAGTCCAACAGTGAATAGGTAAAACTCAAAGATCAGACTTGATTACTCATATCCTATAAGTGGTTAAGACGCTGAACTGCAGGCTGTGGAAGGTCGGTAGTTCAGCAGTTCGAGACCCGAGTGTGCCGCATGACGGAGTGAGCTCCTGTCTCTAGTTCCAGCTCCTGCCAACCTAGCAGTTCGAAAGCAAGAAAATGCAAGTAGATAAATAGGTACCACTTCAGTGGGAAGGTAACAGCGTTCCGTGCACCTTGGTGTTTAGTCATGCCGGCCACATGACCACGGAAACGTCTTCGGACAGCGCTGGCTCTTCGGCTTTGAAACGGAGATGAGCACCGCAACCCTAGAGTCGGATTCGACTGGCTTTCAAGCAAGGGAACCTTTACCTTTACTACCACCCATATACAATCCCCATTTTCTTGGTATCAGCTATTCCAACTAGTGCTCCTTATTCTACTTCAGAAGGACTGACAGGAAAGAAGGACTTATTCTTCGATAAGTACCACAGCCACCTGCAGAATGTATCTGATACCGGAAGGACAGTAAGCACCTGTAAGCTCCAAGGCAACAGGGACAGAAAACTAACAGTGCCATGCCAACTAAGCAGAGTTTTTAGTTATTTTATTTATTTACAAAATTTATACCCCACCCATCTGCCCTAGTCAGGGTGTTAACTCTGCCTAGGAGGGCACCATAATTATCAAACACTATGGCAGTCTAAGCCTGATCTGTACCTGGATAAAAGACTGTTGAGGAACCTCAGGTAACCCTCCCAAGCTTCTTGGAAGAAGGGCAAGTAACAAAATATTTGGCTTGATAATAATCAAACTACTGGGGTGTTAACTCTGCCTAGGAGGGCACCATAATTATCAAACACTATGGCAGTCTAAGCCTGATCTGTACCTGGATAAAAGACTGTTGAGGAACCTCAGGTAACCCTCCCAAGCTTCTTGGAAGAAGGGCAAGTAACAAAATATTTGGCTTGATAATAATCAAACTACTGAAATGATTTTAAACTAATCATCTTTATTATATATAAAAGAAAGTCCCCTCACCCTATAATCAACGCCCAGGCCAAACCACTGGACCTAGAGACACCAAATTCGGGGAGAGCACTCCTACCATGGCGTAGGTGCTCACTAAGAAGGGATTTTTAGAAATTTGACTCCTAAGTGGGTCAAAAGGGGGAAAATGTGCTTCCCACATTGATTCCTATGCGACTGCCAGGCAGCTGCCTCTCTGCACTCCGCATGCTCTGATTGGTCAGCTGCAGAGCTCAGTGTTCTGAGGTAACAAAAAACCAGTTACAGGGGACTGCAGAGAGCTAATGACAGTTGAGGAAATCAGGAGTGGCCAACAACCACCTGTGAGGAGAAGCAAAGCTGCTGCCCCAGCCTCTTTGATGGCTTCCAACACATTCCCGGGACAAAAAAAAAGGGGGGGGGACCTAAAACCTAGAATCCAGAACCTAAAAAAGGTTAGTCAAACGCTAAAGAGGGCCAACAATAAAAGCTTAATATATGAAATATATAAAAAGATACGTGTATTTATTAAACAAAGATTTTAAAATTATATATAAGGGCCCAATTACACCTCATGTACAAATAACAAATTATAACACACAAGGGCTGAGAGATTCGACCTGACGCGTTTCAGCGGTTGTCTGTCAGGTGCAGCAGTGGTTGCAGGGTGCTTAAAGCCACGAGGGAGCCTACCCCAGCAGTAACGCCTTAGTGATCCTGCCAGCCTTGCCTCCACAGTGGCTTCTAATACTCCTCCCACCTCCCCGTCCTACACTGGACAGGCAGCTCCCTGTCAGGTGTAGGAGAGGAGGTGGGATGCTTACAGCAGCCGGGGAGGTTTACTCAGCAGGATTGCCTTAGCACTGCTGCTGGCCCAGCCTCCCCGATGCCTTTAAATACAATCCCCCCCAACATCAGACAGGCCGGTGTCTGTCAGGTGTAGGAGCAGGGCCAGGGTATGAATGTTTATGGGGAGATAGTAAAGGACATTTCTAGGAGCCATTTCGATGCATGCCTCCCTCATGAACCTGAAGAAATGTCCACCACATCACCACTCCCTCACACCAACTCCCCCTCACACCTCTCACCTCTTCCTGCCCCCAAGAAAGCTCCTGGCAAATGTCAAGCCAGATACACCAACACTACAAGGAGGAGGCAACTTAGGAATGTGGCACAGATATTTGCTCATAGTACTCCTGCAGTGCACTGAGATGCGCAGGCCAAGTACCAGCAAGATCACCCTAAGGTGCTCAGAACAACACAGTCTCCATATGAGCAAAACCATCCAGGAACACAAGTAGAGAGGCCATCACTTTTGTGGAAGGTAACAGGAGTTGACTTAATAGATGACTGCTTCTTAATTGAACAGTTCTATGTGGCCTGCTCCAGAGTGAGCTCATCAAGTAGCCTGGTGATCCTAGCACAGAACCACCAATGTGGTCTAGAGAGAGGTCCTTCAATAGAGAGAAAAAAGGACGTATGTCTCACTTCATTTCTTACACTACAATCTTCTCCATTAGAATTCCTACAACAAATGTCACATTTCAAATTTCACATCATCAGTATTATAACTGGATTTACGGAACTTAAGTACCATAGTGAAGCACCGGTAGCAGGCTAGTTTAAAGTATAAACCTAAGTTCACACAAGTAACCTGTGAAATAGGATTGCACGCATACATGTATATTCAAGTAAGAAATGGGAAACGCGTCATTTCAACAAGCACCATAATCTGAATACAGTTCAACACAATTCAACACACGCCAGAGCAAAGATAAAGGCTGTTAATGCTGCTCCCCTTACTGAAGCACAGATCAATTGCAACTTCAACCCGGACTGCTAAGCCAAGACTGATTTATCAACTTCCACCTTTGTTGGGTCCAGGTTCCCTTTTACACCTTCAGCTGCTGTTTTTCTCTTTGCTTCATTTGAACACCATCTGCCTCTCTCTACAAGCCTCATCTGTTGATCTCCCCTGGAACTCCCAGGTGGCAAGACAGTTAAGCAGGCAGGCAGTCCGAAAAATGACTAAGAAGACTTATAGTCTCTCTGTGCATCATGGGCCTTTTCATGTTACTCCCACTGGGGATTCTATCTCTGATGAGAAGCAAGAGGTAACATAGAACCATTTACTTTCTGGTTTCTGCATGACAGCTGGTACAGACATGCTCTGTTTTTACTCTCTCCAGAGCCTCTATTCAGTAATAAGCTCGCTACAGCTCTGATTAACTCTCCTGTCACTGAACTGCTGTCACAGGTCAGCTTGCAGCTGAACTATACAGGAGATTCCTCTGCACTGCTTGACAATGGGCAAGGAAGCAGAGCACTGATTAGGAAGGGCCATAAATGGATGGGTACACTGCATTCTGTCAATCAAAATGCATGCAAGGAAGAGTAAAAGAGGGCTTTGTTAGCAACTGCCTGCACCACCCTAAGAAGGCTCATCTCTTCCCTTTTAAAACTATCGGGCTGTGCATGTTCTTTCTAAGCAACTGGTTATATTAGATCGGGGTTCCGTCTGCAAGCAATCGTGCACGTTTAAACACTCCCACAAGCTTCATGCTCCTAGACCTATGTTAATAGGGGAAACTATCACCACTGGACGGCTTGATCTTAAGTGGATTCCACAAGGCATGTCTTCTCACCAAAGCGGGTCACTGTGAGATATACTGATGACAAATGCTTCCCCAGTCTGGCCAGAGAGAGTACGGCCACTTTTGTCCACAATGGTTCCTGATACCTAAAGACCACAGCGGTGAGAAGAAAAAGGAGAAAAATGTGTGATATAAAGGAGGTAGCAATATCAAAAGCTAAAGTGAACTGATAAAAAATTAACAAGACATTTAGAATCCAGAAGGTTCTGTGTCTCAACCTTGGCAAACAAAGTTTTAGCTGTCACAAAGACTGATCGGGAAGTAAAGCAGCTCGTCTGCGGAAGTCTATGATTTGGCAGCACTGGAGACTTTCATTGTGACGTTCTACTGAACACTACAAGCCCTCAAGTTTCCCTCTGTTGAACACTGCACTGTCCACAAGTCACATGACTGGAGCCTGACTACTGCTCTTCTGGGTGCAGAAGGTTCTCCAAAACTTTGCAGGATCTCCATGGAAATAATCACTTATTTTGCAACTAGAATGAACAGTACTATAATCATGAAATATTAGCCTTCTACGACTTATAAAGTTCTGGTCCATCAACAATAACCCTTCATGTCACAATTCAAGATGTGACACACTGACAAGATTAAGACAATCTCCTTTTACTGAACCAGACTGGTGCTTTTCATAATACCCTCATTCAATCAATGGTATGGTGCACCAGCAGGATGGAAAGGCACAACTCCCAATTCGATAAAGTGTCCCATTTCAGACCTCACAACACACTGGAGTTAGATTGCTGAAACCAGGGAATCTTGAACTGTGGCCCAATGTGCAAGTGGAAGAAACAGGGAGGAACAGGGAGTGAGAGAGAATGAGAATAAACCAGGTTCATTCTTGTCAAAGTTGTAAAAAATCCAGTTTGTGAGTCTGAATGGGATTACTAAAACATCATGAGGCTTTATTTATACAGTACCCTTGGCCAATCTGTGAGAAATGTAAGGAGATATAAGGCAGGAGGCAGCTTTGGGGCTCAAACCATTTATTGTTACTACTACTATTATTGTTGTGTTTGTGACCGGGAAATATATTTTGATTGTAAAAGGCAAAATTCATGTCCAGTGTAACGAAAGCATCTGAGCAATTCTTGAGCAATTAGAGAAAACAACACTTCTTTCTTATACTCACAAATATTGGTCTGGGATCATACTCCTCCACAAATAAATTCTGGAGAGCAAAGAGAGCTGCCTGTCAGAAATAACATCACAAAAGTGTTAACCTTTCTGTTTTGGAGTTTTCAAACTATTCATGCATTTTTACAGAGGAAACTATAATGGCACCACAACTTTCACCCAAAGACTCTTTTCTTTTCAGGAAAAAACAAATGCAGAGAAATACAGTGGAGTCCAGTAAGGTCTTTTCAATGAGCCATAGTTGCAGGAAAGAAACCACCCTTCAACAAATCTCATAACCAGAAGAAATAAAGATCAGAGGACATGAGCCCATCAGTAAACTGAAGAGACAGGTGATTTAGAAATGCTCCAGAGCTCATAAGAGCTACACAAATTGTGATTTCTTTTCTTTTCTTTGACTTTCAGCGCCATCAGTGCTGCAGGAATCTCTGGCTTGGAGTGCCTTTTTCAGTTCTGACTGATTCATCAGCTCCATCCACTGCTGAAGGACCAGCCTCTACCATTCATGCCTTGGTGACTTCCAGATTAGACTACTGAAATGCATTTTACTTGGGCTACCTTTGAAAGCCGTTTGCAGCTAACTTCAAGCACTACAAAAGGCCATTAAACACCTTTTGACAGCTATGGGCATGAAAACATTACACTTGTTCTACGGAATCTGTGTTGGTTACCAGTTTGTTTCTACGCCCAATTCAAAGTGCTGGTTTTGACCTTTATACCCCTGCACAGCTTGGACCCTGACTATCTATCTCAGGAAGTGCCTTCTGCCATTTGAGCTCCATTCCAGTGAGGAGGCTCAGCTCCAGATACTTGCTTTTCATGAACTGATAATGGCTTCTACCAGGAGCTGGGCCTTTTTGGTTGTGGTCCAAGAACTGTATCTTTTTACCTCTTTTTGGAGACAGGTAAAGACCTTATACTGTCTAGAAATTAACAGGAAATCACCTTTTACCTCATGGTTTTAAACTACTTTATCCTGCCAAATTTTAAAACTGTTTGATTATTGCAAACCATCTTGAAAAATAGTTTTGGTCAAAGGTGGTATATAAATATTGGGAATAACAATCATTTAAACAAATCAGCAGCTCTCTCCTGCTTCAATATGAATGCACGGCAAAGAACTCTGTTTAACAGAATATGACAATCCTTTAAAATTTACAGACTATTCAAAACATACAAAACAACAATGCATGGTATTCAGTAAAACAATATATACTGAAAGCATCATCACAACCTCTCATAATAGACCTCAATACCTCATGGTTTTAAACTACTTTATCCTGCTCTCTCCTGCTTCAATATGAATGCACAGCAAAGAACTCTTTTTAACAGAATATGACAATCCTTTAAAATTTACAGACTATTCAAAACATACAAAACAACAATGCATGATATTCAGTAAAACAATATATACTGAAAGCATCATCACAACCTCTCATAATAGACCTCAATACCTATCGAAACCATCAAAATACCAATTACAAACTTTAATGTCAATACCATATTACTGTTTCTGATATTCAGTAAATAGACCTCAGCTATTAAACAAACTTTTCAGTCTGTTGCGTTATTTAATGTATTTCTCTTAACTTAGATAGCCTTGTTACTTGCCATACTTTATCCATTTTTAGTTGGGAAAACTATTATAATTTTCTGACAATGTCAATACAGTCATTATCATAAGTTTATTTAATACAACTCTTATTTGTAATCCTATACAAGTATTAACAGTTCCCTGGGAAAGCAACTTAAAATGTGTAATTTGTGTTGCAATGCCCATTTAAACAGGCTATCCAACAGCTAGCTGTTTGACGACCACTATTTTGTGAATTTTTACACATTTACAACACATAATAATGCAAAGTTGTATTCTCCTAATGCAACATGTCTATTTCTGAAGGTATATTCTTATGGTTTGGTATCAAAGACACACACCATGTAAAAATGAGGCAAAGCTGGAGATGTGCAGAGTTTATTAATGCAAACCTCCCTAGAATGAAAAAGGCTCTAGAGAAGATGCCAAAAAACTGTTCCAAGAGAAAGACAGAACCACATTCTATTTATCTAAGGGTTTCCCAGACAAGTACTAATTCAGAGACATCTTGTTCTGGAAACAGGTCCAGAGAGTTCACTCAGAAAGGCAATGCCCCACTGACCCTGACAAAAATACACTGAGCTTTAGGTGATCCTTGCTTACATCAATAATTTTTTCTGCCCAATAACTAGTTTGAGGCTTGCCTAGTTTCTCATGGTCTCCATCATTGGGCACCACATTCCACAGATATTCATGAAATGCACTGGATCCTGCAATACACGTGAACACTTCCACAGACCTTGCATAGCTGTGCTTGAGCAAAATCTTCTGCAACACCTCTTGTGCAAACATAAAATGGCTCCAGATATGCTGTTTAATTTAACACAAGAGCCAGTATGAAGTTTTCTCTTGTTTTCTAGCACATGTAGAAGTCTTCTAGGGGATCCAAGCTACTATCCTTATACAGTCTTTAAAGGAGGTTTCATCAACAGTAAATTCACTATACTTGGGAAAGCTGCTGACAGTTTTCAGAACTTTCACTGGATGTGGCATAAGGACAACTAAAGGCATATGTAAAAAGGTGTAGCCAAAAGGTGATTAATCTAGCTTTCACCTTAAATGTGTTATATCAGTAAAAAATTAAGTCCACATAGGAGTTTTTCAATAGAGATTATCAACCTGTTCAAAACACTTTTTAAGTATTTATTTATTAGTCTTACCTTGGCATTGGCTGTATCAAATACAGTTTCAACTAACATGATATCTACTCCACCATCTAGAAGTCCTTTGGCCTGTTCTGTGTATGCTTCCACCAGTTCATCAAAACCTATAAAACAACAACAGATTTCACAAGCTTCTCTTCTTAACACTATGAAATGATGACAGAAATCCATAATACACATTCTGGTCCCAACTGGATAGGTGGCTCTCATAGGTAATACAGTCCACAGCAGATAGGAAGGTAGGAAAGTAACTTCACAGCATCTACCCAATAGGTGAAAATTATGTGTGTGTGCTCGCTGCATGGAGCTCTTGGCTCCCAGGGAGCAAGTTCATTCCCTTGAGGCTAGGGTTGCTGACCTGGAGAAGCTGAGGCTGAGAGAGAAGTTTGGGGACTTCAGGGATTTACCGAACAATCCCACTCTTGGGCTGACAGGTCTTCTACTGTTGTGGAGAATGAGAGCCTCAAGGTCAGAGGGCATCAGTCTGAGGAGGAGAGACCAACAGCCTCTCATACCACAGATACCCCTCTGGGGTTGGGAGGAGGTGGGCTTTTGGTAGTGGGAGATTCAATCATTAGGAATATAGAGAATGGATGTGACAGGCGTTTTGACCGCTTGGTAACTTACCTGCCTGGTGCAAAGGTTGTGGACATCACATGCTTTCTAGGTAGGTGAACAGATAGTGTAGGGGAGGTGTCAGCAGTCATGGTGCACATTGGCACCAATGACATTGGGAAATGTATTTGTGAGGTCATGAAGGAAAAATTTAGGTTATGAGGCAAAACGTTAAAGGCCCAGACCTCAAAGTTAGCATTCTCAGAAGTGCTGCCAGTTCCACACACAGGACCAGGCACAGATCAGAGGTCTCAATGCCTGGATAACAAAGTGGTGCTGGGAGGAAGGGTTTAGATTTATTAGGCACTGGGGAAATTTCTGGGACAAGCTGAACCTCTACAAAAGACACAGGATTCACTTGAACCAAAAGAGAACAAGGCTGCTAGAGATTAATATCAAAAAGGTGGCAGAGCAGCTTTTAAACTAATCCCAGGGGGAAAGCCAATAGGAACTAGGGAGCCTCCAGTTCAGAACAAGTAAGTCCAGATGGATGATTGAATAAATATTCAGGGTAATATTGACACGAGCATAATAGAACTTGGGAGTGAGGGTATGATGGCAAATGACGGCTATGTGTGGCTACTAAGGGACCAAGAGAGGAGAGGGCTGCTGGACAGGGAAACACATCATAAGTGTCTATATGCCAATGCTAGAAGTCTCCGAGCCAAAGTAGGGGAGCTGGAGTGCTTGTTGCTCAGTGAAAATTTAGATATAGTGAGTATTTCAGAACCATAGTGGAATGGGGAAATTCAATGGGATATGGTCATTCCTGGGTATAAGAGGCAGGACAGGGAGGGATGTGTTAGTGGAGGATTTGCATTGTACATCAAAGAGGGCACAGAATCAAATAAGTTAGAAAATATCAGGGGAAATAACTCCCCAACAGAAGTGATATGGGTGGAAACACTGGGCCCTAAGGGTTACTTAAAAATGGGGGTGTACTTTCGCCCACCTGATCAAACTTGAGGCTAATCTTGAGATGGAGAAGGAAATAAGGGAGGTAACTAAAGCACATAATGTTATGGTACTGGGAGACTTCAACCATCCTCACATTAACTGGGTATACATGTGCTTGAGTCATGCTGTAGAAATGAGATTCCTTGACATCATAAATGACTGTAAGTAGGTGACAATGTGGCAAATGAAGTTCAATGTTGTAAGTTTAAGGTGATGTACATTGGGACAAAAAAATTCCTAGCTTCAATTATAGGCTAATGGGGACTGAACTTCCTGAGACTATGGTCACTTCCTCACTGTCATTTTTGTCACTTGTTTGTCCTTATTGCTTTGGGGGGCCCTTTTCTACATGTGTTTTGCTCCTTCTAGGACTACTAGAGAGAACAAAACACATTGCGGGGGGGGGGACCCCTGAAGCAATAGGGACAAACAAGTGACAAAAATGACAATGAAGAAGTGGCCTAAGAAGGAAAAAGATCTTGGAGTCGTAGTAGATAGCACAATGAAAGTGTCGACCCAGTTTGAAAAAGCCAAACTCTATGTTAGAGATTATTAGGAAAGGGATTGAAAATAAAATGGTCAATATTATAATGCCTCTGTATAGATCTATTGCGCAGGCTCATTTGGAATACTGTGTGCAGGTCTCAAAAAGAACATCACAGAGTTGGGAAAGGTACAGAAGAGAACAACCAAGATGATTAGGGGGTTGGAGCACCTTCCCTATGAGGAAACACTGATGAGTCTGGGCTTTCTCAGTCATTTTATAACATCAACTAAGGGGGGGGGACGACATGAAAGAGGCTTATAAAATTATGCATGAAGTGGAGAGAGTTGAGAAAGAGAAATTCTTCTCCCCCTTCCAAAATACTAGGGCATTCAATGAAGCTGATGGGCAGTAGGTTCAGGACAGACAAAAGGAAATACTTCCTTACACAGAGACTGATTAAAATGTGGAATTCACAGGCGGCAGAGGAGGAGGAGGGGGAAATTGGATTTATACCCCGCCCTTCATTCAGAGTCTCAGAGCAGCTGACAAACTACTTTCCCTTCTCCTCCCCACAACAGACACCCTGTGAGGTAGGTGTGGCTGAGAAAGCGCTTTCAAGAACAGCTCTGACAGAACTATGGCTTGCCCAAGGTCATACAGGAGCTTCAAGTGGAGGAATCAAAACCGGTTCTCCCAGATTAGAGTCCATGCACTCTACTACACCAAACTGGCCACAGGAATGTACAGCTTTAAAAGGGAATTAGATACATTCATGGAGGGTAGGTCTATAAGTGGCTACTATCCATGGTGACTGAGGGGAACCTCTATGTTCAGAGGCAGTCAGCCTCTGATTACCAGTGCCAGGAGGCAACTTCAGAAGAAGGTCTCGGCCTCTATGTCCTGTTGTTATCCCTCCAGTGGAACTGGTTGGCCTCTGTGTGAGACAGGATGCTGGACTAGATGGACCACTGGTCTGATCCACCAGGGCTCCTCTTATGTTTCTAATTTCCTACTACGTTCACTGCAATATGAGGCAGGATATGAGTCGCTGTTCGACTTTAATTTACATTTTGCTTGAATAGAAGCTTCTCCAATATCTGTTTCTATAATCAAGAAAAATAATGAATTTTTGACTGCAGCCAGAAATGAACCTGGCATAAAAACAGAAGTTCTTGGACAAATCAACACGACACTACTGGATTGTCAGGGAGTCTGTTCTGTTGCAGAAATAGTCTTAGCAGAGCTGACAGAATTAGAAAAAGCAAAAGAAACAACCTTTACACTTAAGGGGGGGCTACACATCATGACAGACTATAGTGGCTGAAACTCCAGACACGTACCTTGGCGCTAAAAAGCAGGAACAGGGAAAGGAGAAGTACACAGGCCTTACTCTTCCATCATCAGTGCTATTTCCCTGATGGGAAATGATCACCCTGACCACTAAGCCCAGCAGGGGAAAAGTTTCCTGTATTTTGCCTGCTGTCCCCCCCCCCCCGACAAGTGCTGAAAGCAGCTGGGGGGGGGAGTTACTTTCTATCACCACAGCTACAATCCAGACTGGGGCCCCCTCATAACGGCTTTTTAGAGACAAATTACATATCTGGAACAGGGTTGCCAACATCTCTGAAGAAAATGTCCCATCCCTTTAACAGAGGTTCCACGTATGGAAATTGAAGCTTTTCATCACATGGGGATAAATAACACCACAAAGTAAACAGTATCCCATTAAGCCTGGCTTACAGAGACAGGGGTTTTTTCCCCTCAGAGTAAATTGGCACCTGGAATTCTAGAAATGTCATTCAGCCCTTTACCCATGGAATAAGAGTTTGAGTACTTACTAACGTTCCTGAAATCTGGCTTCTCCACTGAAGGGGACACTGAAAGGGTCTTGTTTGTAGGACCCATTGCCCCAGCAACGTATCTTTTAATTCCTTAAAGAAAAAAGAAGAAATATACAGACATAACATTTCTGTGACAGGCTTCAGATTATATGGGGAAAGAGAGACACCACAGAGGCACTACTGGTGGAGGGAAGGTTTGACCCGGGAAATGGAATATCTCCTGTTCTGGATGCGGATGCACGCTCCCTAAAGGAGAAGGTTCATAGCTTTGGGGTGCTGCTGGACACAGGCCTCCTGTTGGATAAACAGGTGGCACCAGTGGCCATGGGTGCCTTTCACCTGCAAGCAAGACTGGAAAGGTGTCTTTAGAAATTACTGCCCCCTTTTGTTCTTGATTTTAAATTATCAGCACATTGAAGCTGCTGAGAGTCCATAACTCCCACATGAAAACAAACCGTGGGTTCCAGCTGGAATTCAGGAAATTCATGTAGCCCAAAATAGTACTCAGAACCTTGTTGACTAATGATAGAATCTGCAAATGACCCAGCCAGTTTAACTGCACTTTAGCAAATTTTGTATAAATAGAAACTTAGTTTACAAACTGCAGCAATCTGGGAATTGCACTGAATGGCACCAGCAAAAAAATTAAATAAATAAAATGTGAAAATAGCCCCTAATGAATAGCCCTCTTTTATCAAGAATTTATTGAAGGACTACTCTGACAACAATACCGTTTAATCAACAGTATGACAAACAGCAGTGATCCCGGAAAACTTGAAATACAGCTGTAGAAAAACATGACTAAAAAAGGGAAAAGTTACTCACCTGTCTGAGCAGTAATGTCATTGGCTGCTTTTCGGGCTACCTGTGCTGATATTTTATTTAATCGATAAGCCTGTGAAAGGGGAGGGGACAAGCAACAGTAAAACCAGTTCAACAACCAGTGATTTCTAAGTTTAATATAGTGATCTGAACTGTATTCTAAAGATTAACGTTTAACATTCAGAGGAATTCTACAGGTTGCAATGAAAGACATACAAGAATACTGTTCAAATATTACAAGGAAAGAAACAGTTCATTTAAAGGTAAAGGTAAAGGTAAGGGTTCCCTTGCTCGAAAGCCAGTCGAATCCGACTCTAGGGTTGCAGTGCTCATCTCCGTTTCAAAGCCGAAGAGCCAGCGCTGTCCGAAGACGTTTCCGTGGTCATGTGGCCGGCAGGACTAAACACCAAGGCGCACGGAACGCTGTTACCTTCCCACCGAAGTGGTCCCTATTTATCTACTTGCAATTTCTTGCTTTCGAACTGCTAGGTTGGCAGGAGCTGGAACTAGAGACAGGAGCTCACCCTGTCTTGCGGCACCCGGGTCTTGAACTGCTGAACTACTGACCTTCCACAGCCTGCAGTTCAGTTTCTTAACCACTTGAGCCACCGCAGCTCCATTTAAAACTCATGGTTAAAATGCAGGGGCCCTTTGTCAAGAGTGGATTTGTACAGAGATTCTCCATTTTACTTAAAGGAGGACTGTGCGAATGTGTCCTGCTGTAAACAAAGATGGTGCAGTGCAGAATACTTCTGCCCCTATGCACCACCATACTGGCCATGCAATCCTTCACTGTCACTTCCACAAAGACAGTTGTAACAGAATAATAATCAGAGCAGCATGGACTATGGCAATTGAAAGACTAATGCTCTCAAGCAATGGAAGATTTTAATCACATCAGCGTTCCTCTAAATGATCCATCCTAATTTGAAACCCAGACATCACAGCAGTACTGACCGCTTCAGCAGTAAGAACTGAACAAGTATATAGATGCTTTATTCCTGCTCTCTTATTGAATGCTTGGGATACATTTCAGGGTAAATTTTGCTGTAAAAGAAAAGGTCAAGGCTCTCATAGACTTACTTAACAGAAGGACTCTGACAATCATAACAAACATTACAAAGGGATGGGACAAATCTTTATCCAAGCCACAGTTGAAATCAAACCACAGGATATCACAAAGTCTTGCTATGAGGTGAATGTTTGTCCCCTTGAAGGAGGAAACAAAACCTGTTTTCAATGAAAAGAGCAAGAGTCCAGTAGCACCTTAGAGACTAACAAAATACGTGGCGTGTGAGCTTTTGTGAGTCACTGCTCACTTCTTCAGATACTTCATACCCTGCCACATATTTTGTTAGTCTTTAAGGTGCTACTGGACTCTTGCTCTTTTCTACTGCTACAGACAGGCTAACACGGCTACCCATCTTGATCTGTTTTTTTTTAATGAAAAATACACTCTCATTTTGAAAATTGTATTTCCATTGGCTGAAAACTAAAAGTAGATGAAAACTTTTTTAAAATGTTGAGATCTAATGTGCTGCACTGCACAGTAAATCAATAGCCGGGGTGAGGGGTAAATATTCTTGCTCACATCACCACTGTCTGCAAACCTTTTCTCTCAGCAGGGGTGTGGGGATTACAACTACTTTGTTTTACTGTGTCCTAAACTGAGGACAAACAGTAGGACACTGTTCTTTATTGGCAAGACAAGGATAATTCCTGGTCATCTACAAGCAAACTCCACAATATCTGGATTCACTGAGATTTTTTTATATACTGCTATTAAAATAAATGGAAAAAACATGGAAAACATCAGATGTTTAACCCAAAGTTCAAGAGTAGGAAAGAAACAAAAGGGAGGGAGAAGGTTAAAAAGAACTAAAAGAAAACAAATGTCAGCACCACCATGAGTGGATTCCAGCACCAGCAACGTATCTCAGTTAAAAGAAAATTCAAAACTCTTACCAGATGCTCAAGGCCATAGTCAGCTTGTGCTATTCTGGTGCTGCTAAAAGTGTTTGTCTCAATGATATCAGCACCAGACAACAAGTACTCCTGCAAGAAAAAGGAAGCAGCTGAGGTCTCAAAATTGTATTTATGTTATTTATAGTCCACCTTTATCACTTGAACTCAAGGTGGATTAAACACAGAGTGAGTTAATACAATCAACAGATGAGACATCCAATAAACAATGCTATAGTATTAGAGTTGTACAACCAAACAGGTCTAGAAACGGAACTGAAGCAAAGCACATGTATTAACATGACCCATTATATGATGCAAAATTCCACATTTGGATCCTAGTTTTATCAAGCTATACATAGTAGTCTAAAGTATTAGTCTAAAGAACCATCCCTGGGCAGGGTGGGAGGGGGGCTCTTGGTAGTTGGTGATTCAGCATGTCGGCACCAACAATGTGGGGAAATGTAGTCGTGAGGTCCTGGAGGAGAAATTTAGGCTGCTGGGCAGGAAATGTAAGTCCAGGACCTCCAAGGTAGCTTTCTCAGAAGTGCTACCTGTTCCACGCGCAGGGCTGGAGAGACAGGCACAGATCAGGAGTCTCAATGCGTGGATGA